CTGTTGACAAGTGTCACAGAACAAGGGAAAAGATATTGGGAGGAAGGTGGGAGCTGAGTCGGTAAATCAGGGGAGACCAAGCATTTAAACTGAAGATTAAATCATGGGAAATATGCACAATGCCTGGGTAGGGGCGGTGAAGAGAAATAATATCTACAGGAGCAAACAAATGGGTGACAGTTCTCCCTGTGGTCCAGGTTAGGGTCCCTGTTACAGTCCATTGACCTCTGCAGCTCTGGTGATCTGGAACTACACAGCACCCTTCCACCCTTCCTCTGTGTGGAACCTGCAGGTTGAGAGCAGTTCTGATTGTCACCTAAGGAAAATGCCCGAGCTGTTGGGCTACACCCTTCATTCACTTCTGCTTTCTATTTTTCCACCTTTCTGGGTCGGCCTAGGAAATATGACACACGAAGGAGGAACCGAATGGACGCTGAGTTTTGCTGAATGTTCTATGATACTTACATGTGAGTAGTAGCCACAGAAAGAGCTTTTGGGAGAAAGATCTGTGTTCTATCCCTTTTTTCTTGCCCTTTGGGTTAGTTAGTTCTTAGAGTCAGTGTGTGGTGGTGGTGGTGGGGATGAATCCCTATCTGTGGGACTGGTAAAAAGCAAAGGACAACAGATGATATCAGACAAGAAATAGTACCGAGACTTGAGTCCCAAGGGCCCTATCAGTATTCCAAGATGATATTTTGAGTTACTAAAGAACATGCAATCTCCAATAAGGTGGGAAGTCTAGAGTGATCCCTGTAGAGAAATAATTGGTCGTGAAACTTAAGGGGTGAAAGTGTGCATATAGGTGAGGAATGAAGCAATGGGCTGGAGGACAGTGGCATTTTTGCTTTGGAACTAGAGTAAAGTCTCTGGCATAGACTATCAATTAGTTCACTAGAGCTTAGTCCTGAGATGTAAGCCACATGCAACATGAGGAGGGCAGCAGAGTGAAGGGAAAAATAGTCAATAAATAGGTCATCACCCAACTCCCATCCCACAAAAGCCCTGTGTTCAACCAGTAGATATTGGTTTTTTTGTCTTTTTCGTTTTTATCGGTACCAGGGATCGAACTTACGACTGCCTACTTGCAAGGCAGGCGCTTATGCCACTGAGCTAAATCCCCAGCCCCAAACCAGTAGATATTCTTGTTATGGTAGAAATAGTAGGTGTGGTCTTGCTGGATATTCTGAGACATTTATTATTTGTGCTGAGCCTTGAGTAATGGCTATAAATGACAACCTTTTAAAGTAACACAAGAAATTATGATTTCTCCACAGCACTATAGGTATTTGTGCACCCAGCCGGGGGGATGAGAAAAAAGAGCTGGCTTTGCAGACCCTTCTGAATAGTTTCGCAGACGTAACCCAGAGAGATCCAGAATGAAATGCAAAAGCCAGTTTTCTCATTTGGAACCTGGAACACTTGAATATGGATGCATACCTTGATGTTTACCTTGTGAGTTATCAATAGCAGATTTGTTGTTAGGTCGAGCCATATGTACTGATATTTGATCATTTTTATATTCAAAAATGGCCATTTCATATGATCAAATCTATTGGGCTCCTAAGGTAAATGACTATGCTAGGAATATTTAACTTGTAGACTGGCAAGTGAGAACTAGCAGCTTAGTTTTTTAGCAGGAAACAGTCTGAACGCAAGTAATCTATTAAAAAGTCTTGCAAGATCTCCTGTTAAAAACCCTAACTTATTTACTCATTCATTGCAACAGCAGCAAAAATCATTGCATATGTCATACATACCAGCAGGTATGCTAGCCATGAAATGAAGCAATGGTCACTGCCCGAAGGAGCAACACAGAAGGGGGGTAAAGAGTGAGATGGTGCAGTGGGGAGAGACTCGGGGACAACAGCAAAGAGGGGCGGAGAAGATGACATGCGAGTGGGACCGTAGGGAAGAAAGAAGGAGAGAAGGGCAGCGGGGATGTAGCTTTACTTGAAGAAGTTTTTTTTGAGCAAATAAATCAATTTGATTTTATTTTGAATGTAGTAAAAATACAACAGAACAAGACAGAACAAAGCTAATCAAGACAATGTAGGGACACTGGTACAGAACTTCACAGCAGGATACTGGGATAGTGTAATAGTACTATAGTATATCTCATTAACTTCACAATAGTTGTCCAGTCAATTGGGTATAGTGAAATCAAACCAGTAACAGACCATTGTAAAACCAATTGAAGGACAATACTGAATAGAGCAAAACAATCATTACAAAACATAACAGTTGAAAATAACCTTTGCCTTCAAACAGAACATAGAAGGAAACCCCCCATATTTACTATATTGCATATGGTCATCCTCCCAAGAGATGCTCAGAACTCTGTCCTCAATTGCTGAAATGGGGGGATGTTTGATTCTCAGCCCGAGCGCTGGTAGGCTCACGGGAACAGCTGACTGGTTCTCCTCCCAGCTGCGCCAGGTGTGCTTACCAAGAGGGCAGGCAAACTGCTTTCTTGTGCACCCGCCTAAGTCCCAACATGGCCAGTGCTTGAAGAAGTTTTGATGTGGGAAGCCTAAACAATAATGAGCCAAATGTTGAGCATAAAAGAAAGTTTCAGACAGAACCAGGTAGAGATATCCACATGATTTAAAGAAATAATTTTATTTCTTTAATTTAATTTAATTTAATTTAATTTAATTTAATTTAATTTAAAGAAATAAATTATATTTAGTATGAATATAGGTTTAGTAAGTCTGCAGAAGGGCATTTTTCAAAGGGCTATGTTTCACAGTCAGAGACCATGTCATATTACATGTTCAGCTAGCCAGTGTTGTATTGAGAACAGTTCCTGACACATAGCAGGTGCTCAGCAGAGGTTGAATTAAATTGACGTGTGGAGGAAAAGCCTGAAATTGAAATAGACCACAAGCTTGAAAGAATCCCTTTCAAGCCAGACAGTGGTAGTCCATGCCTTTAATTCCAGCTACCTGGGTGGCTGAGACAGGAGGATGGCAAGTCGGAGTCAGACTCAGCAACTTAGTGAGACCCCATCCCCAAAACAAAGACAAAAGCCTCTTCTCCCCTACACCCACTAGTCTGAATTGATGTGGTTTCAGTATAGAAAACATGCATCTAACTCTGGAGGGATGTGGTCATGCAGTGTTTTAATCTGTGTGCCTAAGTAGATACCGAAAGTGTGTTTTGCCTGGAGGACTTCTTCAATTCTTTATTTGAATATTTATTATGCATTCCCTATAAGCCTGGTGATGCAGCATGCCTATAACACAAGGATGAATAAGACCAAGAGCCCCTGACTTCAGTTAGTAATTAAAAGTTATTATTTGTTAATTTGTTATTTGTAACATAATTAGAAAAATATTTTCTAATTATAATTAGGATAAATAAGATGAAAAACCAAATGCAGGTGCCATGCAGACACAGTGGCCCTCCACAGCCTGAGAAGGGCTGGAACGGTACCTGATACAAGCTTCTTTGGGGGAAAGTTTTGTCAGCTGGAATCATATGCAGAGGACCAAAAAGTGTTCTAAGAGAAGGAAACAGTAGATATGAGGATCTTGAGAAAGGACAACTGGTCTCACAGTGGAAATGTTAAGTATGTAACTGTGACTATAAGTTGATATCCATGGTGATGCACAGAAAATATAATCGACTTACCTCTCATTTTTATCTAGAAGATCCTACCAAATGAGAAAAAGAAAACCTACTTCCTTCATGTTTTCAACATAATATTAAATAATGGTTACATACATGACAGCGGGCCAGGAAATTGATGAGATATCCTCATGAACTCCTAGCATTCAGTCTTCTAAGGACACGGACAAGGCAGTCCGATGTCTGCCTAGCGTGTGGGGGCCCCTGTGCAGAGTGGCAGATGCAGTGCAGGGAGTGATGTGGCCACGCCGGCTGGTGAGTCTGTGAAACTCCCAGAGGAGGGTGTTTGAGGGAGGAAGAGCCGCGTTGGCAAAGGCACGGAGGCCTGAGAAGCACCATGTACTTGAAAAGTACAAATGATGACGTCCACAGGGATATTGGGCATAGGAAAGAAATGTTGGAGACAGAATCCTAAAGGGGGGCCAGGTCTGGGTAGCAAAGCATCGCACAAAACAGTTTATATTATCCTGTAGTCAACGAGGAGTCAGTGGAGAAAGCTGAGCAAGGAGCGGACGAGATCGAGGGACCGGAGCAGCCTGGGAAAGGAAATGTGGGGGAGACCGTAAGGCAGCAGCTGCAGATCAGTCACCCGGAGAAGAAGGACCGCAGAGCTGTGATCAGGACCAGAAAGAGAGTGGCACATAAAGGTGCTCAGAGAAGAGAGTCCACTGAAGGCCTCTGGGAACGCCGGGACGGGGCCAGGCACAACACGTGGAGTGGAGAGATCTCAGCTGGCCCCAAGGCCTACAGTTCAGGAAATGGGTCACACTCTAGCACAGAATCACCAACAAAGCCGACTTAGAGTAAGACCTTGGGTTTCCTGAATCAACCCACTACTAGTTCTTCTAGGATTTCACATTCCTACAGCCCAAGAGGCCCCTGTTTGGTGGTGGGGGGGATAAAAATGGGGCCCTAATACCTGCTCCCAACTGCATAGTTGAATCAATAATAGTTGCAGTGTATTAAGTCATTACCATCCATAGCCAAGTAACTCCATAAAGGCACAAGGTAGTAATTATTTTCCCATTAGCACCAGCTACACTAATTCCAACCTAGAACAATTACCATTCCTAAACTCATGGTTAGGCTATACCCGCTGCAGGCCTTGCAGGAATGGGTGAACGCATGGCATGGAGGAATGAGCACGGATAAGGCGGTGGGCAGTGAGCCTGCTGCATGCCAACCGTGTCTGTGGGCACCCACCATGCCGTGAGGTGGGATGGCTGTGGGAGAACATGGCTTTCATTGTCATTGAGCCAGCCAGTCCCCAGACAAATATTTCCTAATTCAGCTGTTCTTTCTTTGCGCCCCAGGAAGTAAGCTTTGAGTGGGAGAAAAGCTACAGCAGTAATAACACAGCAGGCAAAATCTTTTGCATTTATGTCTTTTTATTCTGTCTATTACTAGGCAACCATTCTTTGTATTCCAACCTACACAGCTTTGCACATTGTAACACCTTATCCTTTGAAGGAAAAGCTCTGGTTTGCAGTTATACTAGAGGAGATCCATTCTGTTTATTGTTGTTTAGGTCAAGCACAATGAAGGACAAGTAGTTTTGACCTCTTTCCTCATTTAGAGGCTCTCCTCTGTGCTCTCATAGCATTATGTTACAGCACGGGTCGCAGACTTCACCACAGTTGTAAACACTTGTTCCTTTCTCCTTCTGGACAGTGAGTTCTTGGAGGGCAGGTGCTGTGTCTTGTCTGTAGCCACATCCTAAGCTAGTAGTGCAGTATCTTATGACAAGGACCGTGCTCAGTAACTGTTGGATGAATGAATGAATGAGCTAGCCAATGTTTTCCTTGAAATTCAAGCATTGGTGGTTAAAGGAATGATTATTTGGTTTATTGAATAGACTTGGCCGGTCAGAATTAAGAAAGCATTTAAGATAAAAACTCTTGGTACCCACATATCCATCTGATGGAAGAGGCCTATTGTGTGTGAGTAAGTACTTGGTGCCAGCTATGAATCAAGGTAATTTTCTTCTGCTACCTAGGAAAGTCACATTTTAGAAACTAATTTAGTGGTCTGAACATCAGAATCACACTGAGCAAAATGACTCATTATTGTTCAGGTAGAAAAGAGGAGCTCTCTGTAACTAAGTTACATTCCCTAGAAGCACAGCCTGCGAATAGGATTCTTGTTCAAATGATTTATTGCGTGCATTCTTTCAGGAGAGAAGGAATGAGAGGACCTCAATAGGCAGGAAGGAATCTAGATAGAAGCTTGCTGGAGGCAAGCTGCAATCTGACCATGACGAGCTGTGGAACTGGCCCCACTTGAAGGCAAAGAGACCTACCATTTGTCTCACCATATGATTCCATCAGTGGTTGTGAGCTATGTTCTCAGACAGAAACTGTAACCTTCTAGTGAACTTATTTCAATGGAGGGAAACCTATGGAGAAGGAGGCAGCTGTGAGATATTGGCACTAAACACCCAGAGCTAGGAGATAACTACATGGCTGGTAGAAATGGTCTGAGCCTAGCATGAAAAGCATCTATAGAGCTGGATAGTGTGAAATAATGTTTGTGATAGAAATTGCTACTGTGTGATAAGCACCTGCTATGTTAAATTGTGTGTGCACACACACCTGTGTTTATTGTATATTCCTTAAAATATACCTACTGGAAAGGTAATATACTATGGCATGTGAGGAAACTCAGAAAACACTGTATTTAACGCTTAGGACATTTCCTTTCTCTTTCTACAATCAGGAGGATCCACACATTCATTGAATTCATGAATTCCACTAATTTTTCCTAGCATGGATGACACATCACCTTTTGGCTAGGCCCTGGGTACACATTACTGAAGCAGTATTCTTGGGCTGCTTAGAGTCTGCCTTCAATGAATGAGACTTTAAGCTTCAGGCAGGCTCATATCTAATAGCCCATGTGACTCAATCAAAAGTATTGTTTGAATACCTTCTGTGTACATTCAGATCCAGCAGATGCTTGATCAGGAAAAGAACCGAGTCTCTGTGTCTGTAAAACTTTTTTTTTAATTTTTCATATAAAATCATCACTGGTTTAAGCACAACTGTTCCCCATATCCTGTACAAGCCAAATACCTGTAGGCCCTTTTCCTGTGCATCGAGGAGGCTGAACGTGGCAATCTCTAAATTCTCTTCCCATGGTCACATCCTAGAATTCTTGCCCCTGACCATCCATCCAACAGCGCCCATGGCTGTGATAGTCATTTGGAGACTGTGATGGTCCAGTTTGTCTCACTTTGGCTTGTCTATAGCCAGTTACTCAAACAAATTCCAATGTAAGTGTTGCAAGATAGGTATATTTTGTGCATCACTTGACTTCAAGTGTTACTCTCCTCAATAATTTGAATGTGCTTCATTCAATCAGTGAAAAATTCAAGAAGCAAAACCAAGATTTCTCTGAGGAAGAAAAAACTCCAACCCTGGCATTCAGCTCCAGCTCCAGCTCCAGCCTGAGTTTCCAGGCTGCTCATCTGCCCTCTCCATTTCAGACTTGCCAGCCACCCCCGCAAGCACTTACGCCAATTTCTTGAAATAAATCCCTCCAGATTTTTTTCTCTATATATCTATATATTCATAACTATAGATACAGATCTTTCTTTCTGGTTCAGTTTCTTCAGGGAACCCCGAGTGACACAGGAAGCTACATGCTGTTTTCATTTTATATCTTCTAGTGTATGGAGTTATATCTTTTCTTGATTGCTAGCAGGCTGACAAAGTCTGTACTTACAACATCAATAAAACAAGGGCACCAAAACACGGGATAAGTTCATCTTCAAGTTTGGACAAGTTCAGATTTATCCAGATTTTTGCAACCAGCAAATCTGTGATATTTTACATACACTTAAGATCTGTGATTTTTTATTTTTATCGGGGCATGGGTGGCAAAGACTATAATCTCAGATAGTGTTTCTAAATTCCTAATCTAGCTCTACAGATCCCAGTAGAATGTAAGCTCCACAAGGTAAGAGGAAGTCTTGATTTCTTTGCAACTCTTTAGTACCCAGTATGACGTTCAGTACAGAAACACATTTATAAGATGTCCTGAATCAATCTATTATTTTCCTTTATTCATTCTCCAGAATTTGTTACCACTGAAAACTGGGAAATAGGTTCAGAGAAATGTATGTTTGTGTGTTTTTAAGCAAATGGATTTACAATCTCCAAAGGAAAGGCTGCTTCCTCGGGATGGCAGGAGATTTATTACCTGGAAAGAATTCTAGCAACTAGCCTTTCTATTGTTTGTATTCTTTAGTAGGTTGCTGGGACTCCAGATGACTGATGTGCATCAGGCTTTGCAAGCATTTTAAGACATTCATTTTCACAATCTCACGTAGGCAGGTTGTCCCAGCAGCAAGCATTGTTGGCAGCTGGAGGGTCTGAAAAAGACTTGCTGAGGCTCACAGTTCAGACTCTTGAACAGAACCTAGCATAGTAATCTGATGTGATATGCAAACAGCAGGTGTCCAAAAATTCTGAGTTCATACGCAAATTAACTCTGGGCCCCTGAATCACCAACCCTCTTGATGGAGAAAAGTAGGGAGAGGTCAAGGTCCTTAAACAAATCAAGATTCTCAAACTTTGCATCAGAATCTACCAACTTGCAAAGGGAAAACATAAGTAGATGGTTTAGGTCACAAAGGAAGACCTCCAAGTTGAGTCCACCTTGTGATGAAGAACTTCCATTAACCTTAGTTAACGTGGCTTCCCTCATCTTCAGCCAAGGACCCAAGAAGCTATGCAACTTGACATCTCAGAAGCAGAAAATAGAATGCAGAGCCTGAGGGACATGCATCCGTTAGAGTAAGAAGATTAAGAAAATCAAGTGAAAAATCAGCTGCGAATAGCATAGCCTAAAAAGTACCGAAGACAGAAAAAGGGAAAGATAAAAATGGAGACAACTTCATCACCTACACACCTAGAAACTTCTCTTCCAGTCCCACTAGTCCTGCCCCTCACCTTCCCTTCAGTCCGTCCTTTTCACAAGACCGGAGTGGGTCTCTTCGCAGGATCTTTCCACCTAAAGTAACATCATTCACAGCAGACTTGGAATCTTCCAGAATAAGTCTTGAGCTCTCTCTAGTCTCATCCTTTCACTATGTCTACTCTAATGTGTTCTGATCACATAGAACTATTTCACATCCTTTCAGCTGTACCATGTTCTTCCAAATGTCCTTAGCACACTCTTCCTAGTTCATCAGTATTTCTAGGCCTGGGTCAGATCTGGGTTCCAACTCCTCAGACTAAGTCCGTAAGTCCCCTAATGCTGTTCTCACCTCTCTCTAGAACCATCATATTCTCGTTATTTGTATAGTGCACTTGGACTCTATCAAACTGTGAGCTTCTTCAAACCACAAGCAATGGCTTTTCTTTTTTAAAAAACCTTAGGTATCTGTCCAGGGACTTATTATTTAGCAGGTCCTCAATAAATAGAATTGGGTAAATGAACCAATCAATTGGCTGAGACTGGTATCTCCAAGTCTGCCCTCCAGTTCTCATTCAGATATTGCTCTCATGCATTCTCCATTTGATGCCATTTGACAATCACGCTCATTGTGTGCCCAACATCACTGCCTCGTAGTCCTGTAGGTGCCCTGCATCTTGCACACGGCATCTGTGCCCTCATATTGCAGAAAGTAACCTCCTAAATTGCATAGCGTGTAGCATCAAGCAATGAATAAAATGCATCTAATAAGTACCGTTTCATTATGTTGATGAGTTAAGATAAATTTTGGCAACTCAACTCTCTGCTTTTTAAAAAAGAGAGATTATGATGCCCAGGGTCAAAGGCGGGTCTGAATTCCCAGGAAATTCACTTGTTAGAATGGCAGGACTGTACCTCCATTCACTCCTTCCTGTAGTCACTCCATCCACAGCTAGTGGGTGGCCCCCAGACACAGGAGGACTCCACCACAGGTCCCTGCTTGGGGAGGGCCTGATTAGTGACCACCCTGAAGTCAGGTGCAGCCCCGAGGCCAAGAGAGAAGTAAGAAACTTGCTGTGACATGCTTCTCAGACCTCCAAAGGCCTCACTGGGGGATGTCCACACAGGGAAGGGCCCTGCTCTTCAGAATAGAATCATTCGTGCAATTGCAGAGTAATTTAGCTCAAATCAGCATTTAGAACAAACAGTAGCAGACGACAGCTTTTCATTGTTGCTGTAGCTTCATGAGCAAAATTGTCTAAGCAATTAGAGGATAATTATTGTCTGCAATCAGGGGAGAAGTGTCAGAAGGAGGCCAGCAGAAGCAGTGACCTGGTGGATAATTTATTAGATGTTGAGTGGCTGTTTTTCTCCCTCTAGGCCTTTGTGAGAGAAGCATGCAAGTGCCACAAGTATATCCCTAGGGAGCCGCAGGGTGGCAGGAGCCCAGGATTCAGGGACACAATTGCCTTTTATTTCCTCTGACTTAGGCTTTATTAAATCTTTTGGCTCTTAAGGCATCCTGCAGCAGAAGTGGGCATGGTGCCCCACTCTGCAGAGCATTTCTGCTATCACTGCAGGGGGGAGTGTGGGGGGGGTGCAGACCTCCCACCCTGCCCCTTCAGGGCCTCAGAGCCTGTGACAGAAGCCTTGATTGACATTCCTGCTGAGTTCTTGGATGCACCAAACTTGTCTCCTGCATTCCAGGCTGAGTTTCTTCTAGTCTGTGCACCTGTGGAAGACTTGCAAGGTTAGATAAACAAGAAGTATTCATGAAAAAAATCAATTTTGTCCTCCTAGGAGAGAACAGTGAGGCTTTGAGGGTTTTGTAGGATTCCTCCTGTACATCCATCCATCACCCAGGAAAGTCCTCTTGTGCTCACTATGCTCAGGGATTCTGTCATGAGGCAGCTCACAGGAAAGAGAAGGAATACAAACAAGAAACAAAATGAGGTGCCTAGAAAGTACAGGATCACTCCCCTCTACAAACAGTCAGGAGGTATAAGGAAACCTGGAAATATACACTCCCCAGTGCCTTCCAGGAAGATGAATTAAATGAAAGCGTCTGCTACCAGTGTTTGGTCTCAGAAAAGAGATTCTAAAACCTGTAGGGACCACCAAGAGCTAGTGGTTAGCAAGGCCCCTGACTTCTCCCAAGCTCCACATACCCCCATCCTTTCCATGTGTCACAGTCATACCCAACTTTGCTGCTCTTTGACAAACCAAGCTATTTCTACTTATGCTGTCCTGGTGCTCTGTCTTCTAGGGCCTGATCTAGCTCAGAAGACCTCCTCCACACCTTCATAACTCCAGAGACCTCTGGGCGGACTGGACCCCTTCCATCACTGTTTCTACACACATCTTCCTTGCCTTTACATCTTGGAGTGTGCATGTGGTCACAGGCGAGCAATGAGATCTGTCTTGATCTCTTCTCTGCATCTCTGGTGTCTAGAACACAAACAATGAAATGTTTTGAAAAGCAATCTATTGAATGCGCTAGTATCTTCCTGTCAAAATATTCTTTCTTATATCTCTCATTTCCACTCATTCACTAATTCAATTTCAGACATTTATTGAACATTGACTGTTCAAGAATTATGATCAATTCACCTGCATAGTTTTTTTCTTAACCTTCTAAACTAGCATCTTAAAATTGCTTTTGCAGGGAGTATTTATAGTATGCTTTCAGCTGTGAGGTAAACTGGACAAAAACCATTGTATTGTATATTTACATGAGTGATTTTTATGAAAAGAAAATCCTGGGGCTGGGGATTTAGCTCAGTGGCGTAAGTACCTGCCTGGCAAGCGCAAGGTCCTGAGTTCGATCTCCAGTACTGCAAAAAAAAAAAAAAAAAGAAAGAAAGAAAGAAAAGAAAAGAAAATCTTTTTGGTCAAATATTTTCTTGGCTGAGTAAGTAGGGTCACATTCATTTTAGGGAACTGTGAAGTTTTAGAATCCAAGATCTGCCTTCTAGGGAGCTAGAACAATATTCACCAGCTCCTGATCCCACTTTGAAACAGGAATGGATGATAAATGGCATTAGTGCTTCTCCAAGAGTTCCCTTTTTCTTCTCTCTACTTGGTATCTTTTTCTCTCTTCCTGTTCCCTCTTTGTGTTGAGTCACCCTTTCCTACAAGCATACCTTTGGACATTGCTTAGCATCTGCCACTGGGCTCTAGAAGTCTTTGCTCCTCTTTTGTTCCCTGGCTGGATTAAACTCACATTCCAGAGTATAGCATGAAAAGTGGTAGGAAGGACAGAACTGGCCTAGCCTCTTATTATCCCATTCCACATCAGACCCTCTGAACTGAACCAGTAACTCAGGCCTAGGCCACAAACAAGGGAGGGCCCAGAAGGGGGGACATCATCGCTTTTTCTGGTTTAAGCAGAAAAACTAACCATATGCTCAGCTTTGTGCAGGTTCCGCAAGAGTCCTGGGAGCAGAAGCTGGGCTCCAGCTCTGGTTTCCTTCACTCTGTTACAAAGCCACCAAGCAGTAATAGAAGGGCGGTGCTTGCTTTTCTCCCAGTGCACACAGGAAAATTTCCCAGCCCAGCATCAGCTTCCCCAGCTCTGCTCAGGAAGCAGTGAATCTTGACTGATGCTGATTGATTAGAGCAGAGGAGAAAAAGAAATGGCAGCCCTAAAGGTCAAGGCAGGAGACGTGTAGCCTGCTTGGAAGAGAGCCCAGATACTCTCTGGGTAGAACACAGAACTGGGCTTCTCAGGCCTGGAGGGATCAGGAACCAATTCAAGTGGGAGGTGTCGGAAATGCAAAGTCGGCTGTATACTCACCACGTTAAAAATGTCAAAAACAAGCCAGGGAAGAATGTGAGGGAAAGCGAGCCTTCTGTTTTGTGGGAGGCAGGTTATGAAATGTTAGAAGCACACGTTTGCTCTCATGTGTCTGCTCACTGCAAGTCCAATCTGCAGCCTGCTGGAACCCAAGAGAACTGGTAAGAACACAACACGCAGGAGTCTGATCCCACTCCACAGAATTCTACCACCACCTTCCCATTTCTAGCAGACTCTCCTGCCCCTGCAGCAAGAGCAATTTGGAGAGTAAGTCAATCCAAACTTGCCTGATGCATGTGAACCCAAAGAAACCCAAAGAAACGGTTTGCTTTGCTGACGGATGACAAGGACTCACTGAGCCCACAGCTGCTCTGATGTCCATGTGGTATGTCAGACAACTTTAAGCTTGCTTCGACTTGGCATTGTTTTTAAAGACACTGAGTCCTTTTCTCTATTCTTTATCAATGCTGTCCTGCTGCAGGGCCTTCCTGGGTTTATAGGGGATGAGATGCTTCCAGTTTGAAGAACTCTCTACCATTGTTTCTGCCAGATTCACAGTCTTTTGCCCCCAAAGGGCAAAGCTAAGCCTGCCAGTTTTAGCAGGAACCTGGCTGTGTTGAGCCCACTACACAAGAGGCACTCCAGGAAGTTGGGAACTGGACCACGGTCTTAGTTTTGATTCCTGAAGAGGGAATCTGCGTGCACATTTTTCTAGAGGATATGATCCTAGGGAACATAGTATGGACTGAGGAAGCAAGACCTGAGAATGGAAAGCCAGTAAAAGGTATGTTAATGTGCAGGATATGGCTAAGAACGAATGAGGCTTGCGTCCATAAGAGACTAGATATACTGGCAAACACGCCGCAATAGTCCTACAAAAGGGCAAAAAAGGCTGTTATTTTTTTCACCAGCTCCATTCCTCATTGGCTGAGTTTCTCTAGACATCTTTAACTTCAAGCCTTCAAAGAAGGGCCTCAACAAATTTCTTGTGGCTAGAAAGAATCTCGGAGCTGAGATGTTAATGCTGGAGGGTGTGTCCATGAAGCTACAGATGCTCACCAAGAAAATCTGCACCATCCACCCACTCATCCATCCATTCATCCATCCATCCCTCATCCATCCCCCATCCATCCCTGGTGATAGCCATGGTGGTCAGAACAACTCCTCCTGCCCCAGGCGTAGGCATGCGTGTGCACAGTGCACCAACACACTCACATACTGCCCCACCTCCCTCTCATTTGCACTCCCCTTCCACAGCCTCATAAACAGTTAAGTTTCTAGAGAGCCTCATCCCTGCTGATGGCTTTGCCTTGCCATCCTAGCAGGTGGAAACAGCCCCTGCAGCCTCCCAGTGCCTGGCTACTCACTGTAAATCCAGGCCAACTCTCGGCTTCTGCCCTGCCCTTGCTCTTTGTTTAAGCCTTGCTGAAAAGCAACATAGCATAATGGAAAAAACTAGAGCGGATGTCTGGAATTTGAGGTTTCATGTCTCAAGTCCACCTGTAATTTATTTAGTTGGCTCTAAAGAAGTTAACTAAATTTTCTGGAACTTAATTTTGCTGTTAGTAAAATTAGAGTAACAACACCTGCCCTACATACTTTGAAATGAAGAAACACTCAGAGGAGCCAATTTCTAGAAACAACTTCACAAGTAAAAGATGCTCTGTGGAACCTGACCAGGATCAGCCCGGGCCTACTTGCATTGTGTTTAGGAAAGCAGGGGTCTTGTTGCTTCTTTCCTTTCATGCCAAGATAGTGCCATCATTGAGCCCTATTGATATATAGGATTCTGCCCTTGGAGCACTAAATGTCCTCTGATCCAGGTCTTTATTTGCAATAGGTCCAGGCAGACCAGGCTGCAACAGGTCACCTAGAGCCATGCAAGTATTCTGCTTAGGATGGCACATCCATCAGGATACCTTGTTGCCTAGGGTATGCCAGATCCCCCTCGCCTCTTACCTTGCTTAAACAGCAGATTTCCAAATCACTATACAAAGTAGTGGATGGAACAGTACTACCTCCTTAAAATGTTAGTGGGGGCAGCGAGGGCACCAGCAACTGTGCTTCCTATGTGTCATTAAACTCTTTGTTATATTAACAGAGAAGCAAGTGTCAACTAGATCTGACCCCTGTGGCTAAATCCAGATATGCTTGTCAGTAATTTGGGAAATGGTAAAGGATGAACATAGAGCCCAAGGGTTTAAAAAGAAAACTGCTTGTTCTGAAAAAGGACTCCAGATTTATCATACAATGACACTAGGGGTAATGCTTAAGTCCTCCTAAAGTCCACAACAATGGTAATAATACCCATTGTAACGTCCAATGGTAGTAATGCCCACTGTGGGCCCGGGCTATATATACGAGGGAGACATGCTGCAAGAGGGATGCTGCCCACTGCTACAGAGGCTCAAAAACAAAGGTCCTGATCATCCTCCAGTTGAACACAGTGAACACAAAGTGGCTCTCCGGGATAGAGAGTAGGTGGAGGAGAGGCTTGGGAAAATGCTGCACAGTTCCCAGAATAGATTCGCACATAAACCCAAAGAATACTAATGGAGAGAAGCTTCTGCGCGTCCTCCCTTTAAGCAAATACTATCCTTTGGCTGGAACAGAGTAGTTCTTGGCATTTGGAAGTCAAAGTGAGGAGGGAATCTAAACATGATGCCAGAGAAAGGAGTCCATAAGGAATCTAAAGGCAGGGCATAGTGAGAAATAACAAAGAAAAATGGTTGGGTTGTAAGAACAAAGATTAACGGTACCAGAGGAGGTGGTACTTTGGCTCTTAAAATAGAAGTCCGTGCAGGTCAGACTTAGGGGCTGGAGCAGCCAAGTGGCAGGCACATGTGTCCTTCACCTCCACTCTGAGGACTCCAGGAAAGGCACCTGCTCAGCTGCATGGTGGCACCAGCATGAATGCTGGAAGCTGAGGCTCCAGTCCTGCTGCCTCCTTCCATGAATCCTAGAAGGACAATCCATCCAAAGCAGCAATGTTCATCTTGTGATGCAAAAGCTCCTCCCTGAGAATAATTGATATGGTTTGTGTCTGGATATCCTCCCAAAGCCTCATGCCCTGATGTTAGGACTTTTGGGAAGTGGTTGGATCATGGGTGTGTGATACTGGGATTAAGGGCATGGGATAACTAGATTGGGTTAGCACAGTTCTGGATGTGGATAATGGAAGCCTAATTTTGAGTGTGGGTAGCACCGCCCCAAGGATTTGTAGTCTGAATGGTATAAAATGAAAGGGAGGCTTACTGTTTCTCCTCTGCCACACCATCCTGCCTTGGAGGCAGCCAACTATGGGCTGAAACCTCTACAAACTGGAGACAAAATAAACCTTTCCTCCTTCACTGTAGGTGTCAGGGATTTTGTCTCAGATATGAGGAAATATCTAAGAGCATAACTAACACAGAAAGTACTGGAATCTGGTGGAGCATTCTTGTTCTCTGCACCTTTAATATTGAAACTGGCCCCAGAGGACTTCAGCAAGTTTGACTAATAGGAAAACAATTCAGGAGTTTCTTTGCTGGCTGATTAGGTGCATATATGGTTGTAAAATGCAACTCTAGATTACAGGCTGAAATGGAAGTTCCTTTCAACTCTTTTCAAATCTAATCCCCTTGCCCAAGTTCCTCAATCTACTGCATTTTCTTAAATACTCAGTTCCCCTTGGAGGTGGGAACAAAGTCATCAGATGCCGTCCTTTCCAGCCAAAGGCACCACTATACGTGAATCACCAAGCAGGGACACCCACACTCGCCCAACTTCAAAATCCTTGACTCACAGAGGACTCATCTGTACCAACACTTCCCATTCACACAGCAGCTTCTCAGGTGGCCCCGAACAGTTTCACAAGCTGCTTGCTCATCCCTCCCTCATCTCACTGCTTGGAGGGAGAGGAAAAGGTGGGGCAAGGGAAGGGCAGGAAACCCTGCATTTCATATGTCCATGGAGAGCCAAGATGAATGGGCTCTTCTGGATGCTGTTTTGAAACAGAACCCTGTAAACAGGGGAGCCAAAAGCACATCCACTGTGTTTTATATACCCCACTTTCTGCCTCTCATTCCATCCTGCTTGTATATTAGATCAAACTTTTGTTTTTTACTTTGGAGTCCTCGTAACTCTCCTGTAGAGGTCTACCTGCTCCCAATTCTAATGGTCACTTTATTTCTGACACTGCATTCTTGAGCATTACCTGGTCCCTGATATTTTTCCTATTTTCAACTCTACCAACCCTTTCTTTCACCTGCCCCCAGTCCATACATTTTTGATGCCCCACATGGGATTGACGATGGTGTAAAGATCAGCGTTTGGTGCTACTTACCAATGAAGTATAAAATATCCATTTTTTCTCATTACTTTAAAAAAAACTGATCATTTATCAGCTAGATTTTGGGGCCAAACAAAAATATCTGCATGTCAAAATAAGCTGCAGTACAATGGTTCTATTAAAAAAGCTGTTTTCAAAGAATTGAGAGTCCAGATGTCACCTGCTTCTGCACCTGACTCTTGTCCTCTTCAGTATGGCCCTGCCTTCTGTTCCAGTGTATTTCAGGATGGGCTCATCGGAACAAGAATGAGCACCAGGGCTGCTTTTTATCCTGCTGTTCCAAGCAAGGACTGTGTAGGTGTCACAGATGAATCTCACACAGGAGCCAAATAGGACGCTAATGACATGGCCTTGTGTTCCATCTACCCTTGGGGCAGCCTAGTTGGCATCAGTCCTCTCTCAAGCTTCTTCCTGTACCCCTCCTCCCACAAGCTCTTGTTGGGTCAGAAATGTAACTTTTTGATGGTGCCAGACACCCAGATGATGCTGGAGAGAAGAAAGAAAAAGCAAAAGCAGATTTCTAAATTCAGCACAAGGCTGGTTTATAAAAATAAACAGCCACCGCCTAGCAACAAGCTCACAGCTCAGCTTTCCTTGGTGATGAAACCTCTGTGGCTGGAGCACAGGGTGACACAGCCTTCAGAGTGCTCCACACCCAAGCTCCTCCCATGCGTAGTACTCATCTAGGGAGCGTGGGCAGTGGCTCTTAAAGGGCCTTGCTCTTCACCCAAGGCCAACCAGGCCCACGCTCCAAAGAGCAGAAGGAAGAGCACTAGAGCTTTCTAAATTTTAGTGAGGATCCTTAAACACCAGCACGCTTTTGGCAGTTAGTAACCCATTGAAGTAGAAACAGATGCATTTCGTTGAGCTGTTCTAGGGAACCAGAATCATACCTCAAAACTATTACCTTCTATGCTGACCACTGGACGCCTAATCTAGGCACTCAGTTACTATGTGAGGGAAGATTGGGAGGCAGGTATAAATGAATGAATGAATGAATGAATGAATGAATGAATGAATACTGCAATCTTGTCCATCATCAATGCTACCCAAACTTCCCATCCTAAATGCAATGAGCACCAAATCCAAAAAGTGGCATCCTTCTCCTGATCATGGCATACGCCAAGGAGGAAAGGTCTCCTGGTTGTGTGATTAAGCGTGAGCTCACAGCTGGGTGAGGACCCACAGGTAAACAGAGGACACAAGCTCTTCCTGCCCAAGTGTGTGTGGTACGGGTGTTTCAATGAGGCAAACACAGGGCATAAGATATGCTGTTGATAATAATAGTTCGTGTTCCTGAAACTTCTCCTGTACTTTAGGTAGCAGCATTTCAATGTGAGGTGTTGATAAACAGAAACACTACAGGATAGAATGGCGTATGAACTTTTGTTCTAATTTCTGTTGAGATACAAAATGTGGAGCTCACAACATCCTTAGAAATGGAACAGGTCAAGTAAGCCAGGAATGGGCCACAGTATGGATGATTTACTCTTGTCACCAACCTCCAAGTTATGAAATAATTATGTAGGGTTCAGGGCGATCCTAGGACAGCCCTCAGAGTGCTGAACATGTAACCATTACGAACTATTAGGGTGCTAGTGAGGTTGGAGGAGGCCATGGGGCTCCACCTGGATTCCTCAGAGTGGTTACTTCCACATGTTTCCTTGTGACCAGAAAGTAGCCAAGGAAAGTATGTCAAAGTCATAAATCACTATCTCAGAGAGGGGCGCTTTGGATATAAATATTAAAAAGATCAAAGAAATTGGCTTAGACATCACTCAAAAATCTATCTTTAGGTATTATCATCTGGCCTGGCCAGAAACATAAAAATCACATTCATTTCAGTGAAAAGGTCCTTAATTAAATTCAAGTGTTCAAGAATATATTATGGGTCTATTTTGGGGATAATAATGTATAGGTTACAAAACCTCTGAACACCAGCAAAAAATGGTAAAGCTTCACATAACAGCATAGAAAAAAACAAAAACCTCGCATTGGGACATTTAGAAAGAGACCTGATTAAGGCACAGTCCTAGCAGTCAGCCCACAAATTGCAAGCTACCTGCAAATCTACAGTGATGTCTCTTTGGTGGTTCCAAGGGATGCACACACTTTCCCAAGCAAGCCAACCACATCTGCAGGTCTCTGCTCCAATCTGAAGAGGCACAGTGTGTTCCAGGGGTCCCCCCACTTTCCACCCAGTACTCCTACTTCTAACTTGGCTGCTAAGCAGTAAGATGCCACTGTTGTCTGTAGAAGCTATTGAGATTTATGGAAAAAAAAAAAAAGAATCCACAACCTTAATTACTTGGAAACTCAGTTTTCTCAGTCATAAAATGGGAACAGTAGAACCTGTGCTTTCTACCCCTCATGATTCTGTCAGGATCAAATAGGACATTATTATGTTCAAGTGCTTCTCAGTCTGAAAGCTACCAAGTGACAATGCGTTATAAGCTATAAAAACATCCAATGAGAGGTTTCCTTCTTATCTGAACTGAAAAATCTGTGTTGCAAAATTTTAAGATGCTGCCTGGTCTTTGGGAATGTGAGGCTTGTTCCATCTTATAATCCTAATTTTTGTGGGATGCCTGATCAATTCTTTGACATCACATACCAAAGGCTTCTAATATTTGTTAGATAATTAATAATCATAACAGTTCTCTCATAGAATTCCTCAGAAGAGGCTGGAGCTCTAGGACGCATGAGGAATCTTTCAGTTCCCATAGATCTCCCTTTAATTTTGCAGATGCAAGCACAGAGGCAAGAAATGTTGGGCATTTGTCAAAGGTCACTTATCAAGTGTCACTCACCTTGTCCTCGTTTCTCCTAGCGTGGCAGCATCTGTTCTCCCATGGGTTTTCTAGGGTCACAGTTCAAATTCCACCCTCTTTGGAGCTGAAACATCCATTTTCTCCTGGACACCAGAGCTCTAGGATCTCAGGCCTTTGGACTCGAGAGAGGATATCAGCCCAGCTTCTTAGCCTTTGGCATCAATTAATTAATCCACCACTTTCCCAGCCCTCCAGCTTGCAGATGGCATATTGTGGGACTTCGCAGCCTATATAACTGTATCCAATTTGCATAAAGATCTCTTTTTAGATCTATAGATCTATGTGTCAGTGATGGATCAATCAGTTCTAGGTAGATGCATAGATAGATAGGATAGGATCTGGAGAACTTGGATAACAGATTGGGAGTGCTTCCTTTCCTAACAGGCACATTTTTATACTTTTGAGTGACTATTAAGCTCAGTGTGGTTTTAGAATTTGAAGCAGGCAGGATGCTTCAATATGAAGTAGGAGGCTGGTTGAGGGCAGCGGGTATTAAAGTTCACTTCCAGGAGCAGGCACCTCTGTGGTCCTTTGCTCCTCAACTTCATAGACCACAACTTTGGAATATGCCTTCCAGATTTGAAAAATAGATATACAATTACTGAGTTTTTGTCATTGCTTTTTGTTAATTTCAATTCTCTCAGAAATGAGAGATTACATTTAGGCAAAGCATCGATGCACCTACTATATATAAGTTGTTATCAAATTGTTAGAATACGAAAAGGACTAGGATTCTTTGAGTGATAATTCTTCCACCACCATCCACCTTCCTTTGACAAATGACCTTCTTTTATCCAGGAGAAATACTGAGGTAATTTTATAAGACATCCCCTTCTTTCCCACCCCTGCACCTACTTACCCCACGAAGCCAAGCACCTCTCTCCCTCCATTTTCCTTACTCAAGTGAGGAAGTCTTCATTCCGCCTATGACAGACAACTCTGCTTGTGCTGGATCTAAGGTGATCAAGCATTCTGTCTTTCTCAGTCAGGTCTGCAGGGATTCCTGAAACACGGGACTTCTGGTGCTAAAATTAGGAATGTTCCAGGCAGTGGAGGACAAATAGGTTACCTAAGCAGCCACTATGCCCTCTCCCCAGGGATCTTTCCAAACAAATAACAAACCATGATTGAATAAATTGAAACCAAAATTTTACTACCCTGCTATGCAGGAATAGCAATCAGAAAGAGAAGTGGAATGGATAAATAAATGAAAGGTACTGATTTGTCACTAATGAAAAGACCCATGACTAATGTGAAAAACTGCAGGGGGATGGTATCCTACTATCTGATGAAGGGAAGAACAGAAAATGTACATTAAAAGTAATATAAGGGTGTATATCCCATTCATCAAAAAGAGGAAGGCTTGATGCTAAGTCAGAAAAATTCGTATAAGAAACAGAGCACAATGCTGTTTCCTGATTGTTTAATCTTTGTGGTATATTTTAAGTGCATGAACACACACACAATCTGCAATATAAGATTTAACTGAAGGGAGAAAAGAGAAGCTACTTACAGCCAGAAAAAGACCCAGCCTGAGGAGTGAACAGGTAATACTTCATTTCACACTGAACCATACAACACTACACCACTCGAAAATATTTTGACTGTGTGATTACAGTACAAGTCCAGACTTCTTAACAAACCTCAAATCTCAATCCATGTTTTCCCTAGATTTCTGATAAATCTAGCAAACCCTCTATACAACACAATACTGCAAAGTTTCTTCCCAGAGCATTTCCAAAAATAGAACTGTTGTGGGTTCCTGTTTACATTTAGATTTCCTTAGCCAAGATTTGTTCCATGTGTGCATAGAAAGAACTGCAGGTTGAACAATGCCTGAACGACCTTGGTTGAAAAGGAAATAATTCCTGACCATATCCAGCTCACATGCAATTGACCTATAATATTTTGGTTCTTTTAAAAAAATTTTTAAACAAGGTATTATTAACAATGTAAATAGAATTTTCTCAAAAAATACAGTTTAACTGGCTCCCTTAAAAAAAAAAAAGAGGGAAAACCCAACTCTGGGACCATGCTCCCAAGGTCACAATCATATAAGACTGGTGGCCTGAACGGCAGGTACTGTTGATGGGTTGGTTGACTGATGGGATTCAAATCCCATCTTTGATCCTTGTAGATAATGGTGATCATAAACTTAACTCAGTTTTTGTTATATGTTTAAAAACAGTGTAAGTTAAACTATTTATTTTAGTATAATTTTATGTACTTTTTGAAACAGTGCTAGCACATAACAATCATTTAATAAATATTGACTGCTGCCATGGCATCCCAACCACACAGATACCTTTGCTATATTTCTTATCTTCCAGGTTCCGTGAGCATAACTGCTAGTCTAGATAGTTCCACTAAATGCCTTTGGCAATTGTGACGTGTTAAATCACTAGGTGTAGACTAGCTCAAGTCTATATCATTTCCTGAGTGGATTTGGCCCCACGGCCAGGGTGACACATGAGCTTCTTCCCTGTCCTGCCAGACCTCATCATGAAACTCAAGAGCAGGCCAAAGGACGCACAGCCAAGCCAAGTGTCAGGTTTTCTAATTGGAGGTTTCCGGACAGAAGAAATTTAGTTCCCTGGTTGCTTAAGTGTGTCTCATCTGCTTTCTAGCATCAAATCTTACCCATCACCTGTCTCTCCCAGTCTTCCCACAGATACAAGAAGAAAATCTTTAGTGTAATCCAGCTGGCAAGTCAGCTAGAGAACAGAAATTCTTAGGAAAAACAAGAGATACTTTCCTCACAGAAAATTGTTACTAATAAACCAATTTCTGCTGCTAAGCAACCCTGATGATGATTCGTTCACAAAAAAAAAAAAAAAAAAAAGCCCTTGGTTGTCTCAGGAGTAGATGAGAGTTCTTGTGAGTTAGAAGGCATCAGAGAAAGTTTTAGTCAGGATTTATATGAAGGTAAATATTGCATAAGGAGCAAAAAAGGGGAGGCATGTCTAGCTTGTGTTGTATGATGAGTATTTTACTCATGCTTTGGGATTTGCTGTATGTTTGGGGAGTTACCCGTAAAGAGCTGGATTGTTCATTCATTGCCGAGTAGATGGAACCACAGCAAATGGAATATCATCTTCCTGGTTCACTTGAGAAAACTAGTAATTAAAAATTGTGGTTGGAGTACAGTGGAACTTTTTAGAAATAAGAAAGAGCTTTGCAGGCAGATTAGATGTTGCAACTGTCAAATCCCACAGCACAGTCATTATGCTAAGAAGATGAAATAAACTGTGAGCCAGCCAATAAGAACAGCTGGAGGGTGGGATCATTTCTCCTTGCCCTTGTCTCCCGAATGGCTCAGCCCCTCAATTCCTTTAACCAAATTTTACATACTGGGATACACCTCTTATTGCTGAAAGCATGGAAAATCCTTTGTGTAATTTCTTAGACCTCTAAATATATGTTTCCCCTAACAAGCAAACGTGGTTATTTCAACAAAGTCAATCAGCTGACTCAAAGGACAGTATTTAAGAGTGGACTTCCCAGAATATTCGTCCCAGTGTTTTCTTTTAACTTTTTCATCACTGTCCTTTTGATGCTTAGTTTAATCGAAAGCATCAATCTGTGTTTACATTAGTCTACTAATTTGTTGAAACTCGTACTGTACTTTAAAGTGTAAGTAAAGCAGGAGGATAAAACTGTAAAAACTAGGAAGCACTGCTGTTTGGGCTAGTTTTGGTCACCTTTGGCTATTTATTCTCTTTTCCTTGTTCCTAGTCTTCAAAAACATCACGAAGATGTAAGGCTTTGCATACCAAATCTGCTAGTGTCTCTTCTCTGGGCAGTTTGCTCTCAGCTTTTGCTTCCTCATTTCTGGACTACTGAGTAGACTCTCAAGTAGAAAGAGAACAATTGTGAGGTTTAAAAGCATGATCCTTCCTCCTCAGCTCCCCCACATTTTCCCTCCTCTTGGAGGGGAACAACATGCTCAAAGCCGTAATATGAACTGAATCAAAATAACTCTGTGTTGATGTCAGGTTCGTTGCCTAGGAAACCATTGAACTACATTTCTCAAGGTTTCCATCCATAAAAGCAAAGCGTATGATGCCTTGCTTTTTGCTATGACTCAGGAATGTGTTGGAAAGATTTATGAACAACGTTTTCTGCGTGATGCTGGAGAGAGTGAAAGAGGAGCCTATGTGTGTTCATTGTGTGTGTTCATTGTGAGGAAAGGTCATTTGAAGACAACAGCCACCCCTTGGAAGAAAAAAAATGGAAATTGTTTCTTTCTGGAACAGTGAAAAAAATCTCCTTCTGTTCACCCCAAACTACATGGGTGGGGTCAGCAGAAGAAAGGAAACATACATAGCAATGAAGGGTGCCAAAGTGATGATAATGAGAAGAGGGTGAAGTTACCCCAGAATCCAGCACCCATAATCCCTATCGGGAAGCTGAATTCACTCTCTTGGAAAGTGCAAACTACAAAACACTTTCTTCAGGTGTATTAGCTAGCTTTGCCATTGCTGAGACACAGTATCCAAGATGCATAATTTAAAAGAAGAAAGGTTTAATTTGGCTCATACTTTCAGGAGATGCAGTACATGATCAGCAGGCTCCAAGCCACAGACATTATGGCAGAAGGACATGGCAGAGCAAAGTGGCTTACTTCACAGCAGCTAGAAACAGCAGAACAGAGCCAAGAAGGACCATACACAGTATCAAGGCCACACTTCCATGACCCATCCAGACACATGCAAAAGGAGCTTCACTTGCCTGCTAGATGTTTATTAATCCAATAAAGTAGTCATATCAGGATTAATGGTTACAATAGATAACCTCTGCTTTGGAAATATTCTATGTCTTGGAATAATATGTTAGTTGCATGGGTTTATACAGATTCCAACATCCATCAGAGTATATACCTAATATAGTATATTTTTTCTTACTTAAATGTTAATCTTTGTATCCATCCAATCTTATTTTAATCAATGATTTCCTTCCTGTGCCCATGGAATTATGCTCCAACTACCAATTTTTCTAAGAGTTCTCATATTTATATTCAATAGGGTTAATGTGTGCAAATATGGGTAATCATGTACATCATAACCATAGAGGCAGTCAGGCTGAAACTGGTTTTATTTGTCATTTTCTAGTAACTGTTATCTCCGCAGATTTGTGAGGCATCTATCATCATTCAAATGTCAAGCGTCTTTATAATTACAAAAAATAAAAGTAAATTGTGTGCATCAGACTTTTAGGGTTAAGTATATTTTACTGCTTTTGGACTCATTGAATATTGGTAAAATCATGTATAGAAACGTGACAAGTGTATCCGAATATTGGCTTACCTAAGAAATCCTATATTTTTACTAAGCCTAATAATAGTGTTTATGATACATGTGATTTAGATTTTGGAAAGGAGTAGATAGCAATAATTAGTACTGAATTCATGAACCAGTTGTCTAGTATGCAGTTGTGGCATAAAAATTTAGCATTTTTTGATCTAGACTCCATGTATACTAAGAACGATGTCTGAAAGCAGATAAAAGCTTTGTCTTTGATAAAGAAATACCACACTGTTCACATCTATAATCCCATCACCCTGGGAACCTCAGGGAAAGAGATTGGAAATTCAATCCAAGTCCAGCCAATTAAACAATTTAGTGAGATTTCATCTCAAAATAAAAAAGGGCTTGGGATGTAGTTCACTGCAAAGGCCCTGGGTGTTTAATTCCCAGTACAGAGAGGGAGTGGATATTATACTTGTTCACACTTTCTTGTGAAATTCAGGTTTGTGTGTTTTCTTCCTAATAGGAATGTCAAATAAACAAAGAAATAACGTATTTGAGAATGATCAGTAAATATAACCCAATTAATTTATTTCCTGTCAGTTGAATGTTCTTGTCCATATTAGCTCAGGCTTGGCCTTTAATGACAGCAAGGTGTAATCATCAGGATAATTTCTTCAACATTGTTATAGCTTGGGTCACTGAGACTCTGAGATTGCAAACAGGAAGTTTTATAACAATTGCTCAAGTCCTATGCAATCCAAATCGTTTGTCAGGGACCTAATCCAGTCTCAAAAGACCTGAAC